TATATATCTCTGATAAATCACAATTCCTTTGCTTACAGAGACAGGACTGAGGCGTCATGACCCAGTCACATCTTATACTAAACTGACATTAATGTTGCTTTAAGTAGGAAAAAAAAACCTTCAAAGAAGGAAAATGACAATAGCAAATATACAAAGCTAATTCTCATTTTCACTACAATTTATTCCTCCTTAAAATTCAAAAAAGATGTTGTGCCTTGTACATAGCTGTATTGTATTCTGTAGGCAGAATCTTTTTCCTATAATATACATTATCTCTTTACAGTATTATATATTTCAAGAATTTAAAAAGTTGTCAACTTCATATTAAACCAGTTTTAAATACTGGACAAAGTTATTATCCTTCTCTTTCTCCCTATTTTTCTATTTCTAACCTTAAGATAATCCATAGCTTTCCCTCTACCATAAGACTAAAAGACTAAGAAAGAATATTAAATCCATTTTAATAAATGTCTCATGAAAGTATAAGTATTTTTATTTAAATATTTATTTCAGTTTAGGGAGAAAGCTCAGGAAGGAAGGAAGCTAAAATACAAGTGTGAATAGAAAGGAGGGAAATTTGAAGACAGCAAGTTACAGAAGTGATCCTAGAGCAGCTGTGGGCAAACTACGGCCCGCAGGCCGTTTATATTAGTTCACACAAACACTCCATCCATGCTTTTGTTCCGGCCCTCCGGTCCAGTTAAAGAACCCATTGTGGCCCTCGAGTCAAAAAGTTTGCCCACCCCTGTCCTAGAGGATAACAGCCAAGGCAAGGCTCCAGCAAAGAGCAGGGTACAGTAAAGGTGGTACTACAAGTCAGGGATTCAGAGCAAATGACATGTCTCCAATCACCCAACCATCAGGGATGTCAGAGTAGAAAATCTGTATATTGAAGCAAAACAGACAGTTTTCTAAAAAAAGAGAGAGAGAGAGAAAGAAAAAGAGAGAGAGAGAGAGAGAGAGAGAGATCTATGGACAGATGTCAAACAATAGTGGATTGTATTATTAATAAAGCAAAGATATATAATATGCACACTTGGCTACCATTTATATTATGAAGAAAATGAGGAATTTATGTCTGTATATGCACAGAAGGTCTCTGGAAGAAGACACAAACCATGTAGCAGTGGTTGCCCGAGAAAAAAGAAACTTATTTTTATATATTGTTTTTTGTACTTTATTTTTTTTAAGCCACAAGCACAATTCCAAAAAAGAAAAATCTATTCAAATTAATTTACAAGTCAAGCACACTGAAATAAAAAGCTATCAAAGGTAAAGAAGGATTTGTAATTTAAAGCCAGAAAAAAAGGCTAAAGCAAAGCTGAAGTGTGAGGCAAAGAGAATGGGTCAAAGTTGGTCATGCAGTCAGTAGTACAGCACACATGGGGTTGGGTGGACCTAAAAATGAGTCAACTCCTTCAGCCTTTTATGAACTTCCAGCTTGGATAGGAATTAATACCAGGTCAGACAGCCCAGTGTAGGCAGGAGAAGGTGAGTCACTTAAATAGAGATGATACCATAGCTGCAGACAATTACCTGAGCTTGAAGATAAAGGTAGATATTCTAATATGACTACTGCCAACCTGACTTAGCCTCTAGGGTTAACAAGAACAAAAGCAAGGACTTCAGAGTTTTACCTTCAAATATCTGTCAGATATATAACACCACCATGATAGTTCTTTAAATGCAATGTGTGTGACCCAGCTTACTGCAAAGAACCTAGAAAGAGATGAGTTACTCAAGGCGGGCTTGGGAGTAGAGGCACTGGGAGGAACCTGCAAATCTCAGGTTGGGAAGAGATCTCAGTCCCTCCAAACTTCCATCTTACCCTCCCAAGGTTTTAGTCAGGCACAGCTTGAACATCTCAGTGCTAAAGAAGAGCTACCTCCGTAGATTTTAGATTATCCAGATATGTAAGAGATTATCTTGAAGAAATTAAAAATGCTTAGCTATGAGATACATTAATAAAGTAAAAAGTTCGTTTTTATTGATTTCAGAGAGGAAGGGAGAGGGAGAGAGAGAAAGATCAGTGATGAAAGAGAACCATTGATTGGCTGCCTCCTGCACGCCCCCTATTGGGGATCCAGCCCCCAGCCCAGGCATGTGCCCTTGACCAGAATCAAACCTGGGACCCTTCAGTCTGCAGGCTGACGCTCTATCCACTGAGCCAAACCAGCCAGGGCTTAGAAATTCCTTTTTAAATCCATAATTAGTTTCCTTATATCAGTCAGCATATTTCTAAATCACCTCTAATTTAAATTATTGGGTACTTAAAGAATTAAAATTATAGTATTTTCACAATTTGCCTAAATAAAAAATAACTGAGAAGGCAAATCTGTTGGGGATATTTTATTTTTATATATATTTTTATTGATTTCAGAGAGGAAGGGAGAGGGAGGGAGAGAAACAGAACATCAGTGATGAGAGAAAAATCATTGATCGGCTGCCTCCTGCATGCCCACACTGGTGCTTGAGCCCCCAACAGGGGCATGTGCCCTGACCAGGAATCAAACTGTGATCTCCTATTTCATAGGTTGATGCTCAATCACTGAGCCACACCAGCCAGGCTGCTGGGGACATTTTAAAAGGAACATACTACAAATTTCAGTCACTTTTCTTTAGCTTAAACCAGTGGTTCCCAACCTTTTTTTGGCCACGCCCCAGCCTAAGCATCTCTAACATCCTGATGCCCCCCTGTGACACATAATTATTATTCAAAAAGTGAACTCCTATTCACGTGAAAGAAGCCTAAAAGGCCATTAACTTGGTGTAAACAAGCTTCCAAAGAACATGGCATCCATGAAAGAGAAAAATAAAAGAATGAAAGGACAGCTGAAGTATTGAGGAAGAAATCACTAAGAAATTGTTTAAAAAAATAGTAAAAACATGAAGTGATATGAAAAATAGCAAATAAAGTTTCAAAACATATAATAGAGAATGGAAATGCATAAATATGTCACAATATATATTTACATACTGTGTTATGAGGCCCCTAGAACCATAAGAAATGCAAAAAATTCACTGTTAACTCATTCTCGAATTGCCCCCCTTAAAAATCAAATTGCCCCCAGTGGGTCATGTGCCCCACATTGGAAACCACTGGCTTAGACAGTAAAGAAATGCCAAACACAGAAAACAGATATGACCACAGTTCAACAAGGAACAAATAATTTCATTTATATTCATCTTTCAAAATTTAAAAATATATACTTTTTGAGTATAGGATCTTGCCGAAAAGGTATTTTTTACAAGACAAAGCATTTATGAATGAACCAATTCTAACTTCTTAATCAAATAACACTATAAAACTGAAGTGATAGAAAGTAACCTTATTAATTCCATATTATGAATTTTTAAAAAGCAAGGAATATTGCTGAGTGTGAAAAGCTATTACCTTCATTTCCATGATATAAGAACAGAAAGAAATTTTATTGCTATACTAAAAGTAGCTAACAGAAACTCTTACTACAAACAGAAATTAACCATTCTGTTATGCCAGAAATATATTTAAATACAGTCCCTAATAACTAAAATTTTAATTGTATTTACCATAGGAGAATTTAGTCTATCAATTATTACTGTTAGCCAAGGGTAATTATCAAAAGTAAAAAACAACAAGAAACACCTAGGTTATACCACTAACCAACCTGAGCACAGATATATGGTATATACACAATATTTACTAAATTAAATATGCATAAAAGCAATACCATGAGGACTATAGATGAAAAGTATAATGGATCTTAAAGAGTCAAAGAAAAAAACTTTTTAGATTAAGAAACAATTTATTTCTTAGAATCCTAAAATAAATTAATATGTTTTTCCTTAACAATGTTTTAAAAACAAGCACATCAAAAAAGTTCTCATCAATACAGAACATGTGGTTGCACATAAATTATCTTTTTTTTTGAATCTCAGTATATTTTCATTAAGATAAATATTAACATAAGTTAGTATTTACCTTAATAATTTCATTAAGATAAATAAAATAACAAAAGATAATCCTTTAGGTGTCCATCAGTTTGCTTGTTCATATTTGACTCAATAGTCTACAATGTCAGAGAAGCCAAATCCACTCGAAGTGAACAAGTGAATCATAAGAATCACAGCAACTTAAGATCTTACTGATAAATAGCTCTCAATCATTTATATGTAGTAAGCAACATCTCCTTAAAGCAATGAATTAAAACTACACAAATACACTTATATATCTAATTATTATAATAATCTAATGGAAAGAAACACTAAACAAATGTAGCTGACTTATTTTAGCCATCTTGTGCTCTAATATAGATATTAAAACTCTATAAACTCCAGGGTTAAGCAGAAGAAGGTGAGTCACAGAGATGATAAAGTAATTAATCTAGGACAAGTGACATCTGAGACATCATGAGTAAATAACCCACTCTTCTAAAACTTATAAAAACCCAATATAATTTACTACTGCCCTTTGAGAGTTTATCAAGAACATGTCAAAAAATAACAATGAATCTTTAAGAGGAAGAGGCACTTTATCAGCAGATATACCACATAATGTATTTCTTTAAACCATAGTAAATAAGTTTATTTTAAAAACCAATATATAATATATAGTACTGAAAAAGAATCTCGCCGAGACCGGTTTGGCTCAGTGGATAGAGCGTCGGCCTGCAGACTGAAGGGTCCCAGGTTCGATTCCGGTCAAGGGCATGTGCCTGGGTTGCGGGCATGTCCCCAGTGGGAGATGTGCAGGAGGCAGCTGATCGATGTTTCTCTCTCATCGATGTTTCTAACTCTCTATCTCTCTCCCTTCCTCTCTGTAAAAAATCAATAAAATATATTAAAAAAAAAAAAAAGAATCTCTAGATCACATATTAATTCATCCACTTTTTAAAAATACATTGAAAATATATTTTAAAAGTGTGTACATTTTAATTTTAAAAAAATTATTTCTAAAGATTTCTAGGTAGTTTTTAACTACTATGTGAAGATTGAAAAAATACATACTAAATCATTCATACCTGATCGAAAGCACTCAATTATTTGTTGAATACCAGATTTGGATGTCTGTAGTGGTTGCTGTAACAAAGGAGCATCTCCAGGTTCCAGGATATAAACTACATGGAAGACAAACACCCACCCCAAACCCCACAAAAAAGGGTTATTTAAATCATTTACTATTGAAGAAAAACAATGGTTTGCTATAATCATGTAAAAGACAATCACACTTGTATATATTTCACCATCATCTTTGTAAGACAAAATGAAATAATGGGGGAAAATAACTAAAATCATTCTCAATTCAAGGCTAAAATAAGACTACTTAAAGCTAGATAATAAGTTTAAATGCAAAGATTGTCCTATCCTGGTATTATTTAATACATATTTGGCATGTTTGCCTTTTTATTGTCCTTGAGAGGAACCACTATATTTAACCAAAGTTTTAAGACAATGATGGCCTAACCACACCTCATAAACCATTCCAAAACCCTCTGGACAATTTAGTACAGCTCTCTGGGCAACTGTGAGAGCAAAATTCAAAGACTACTGCCTAAGGCAGTGATGGCGAACCTTTTGAGCTCGGCGTGTCAGCATTTTGAAAAACCCTAACTTAACTCTGATGCCGTGTCACATACAGAAATTTTTTGATATTTGCAACCATAGTAAAACAAAGACTTATATTTTTGATATTTATTTTATATATTTAAATGCCACTTAACAAAGAAAAATCAACCAAAATAATGAGTTCGCGTGTCACCTCTGACACACGTGTCATAGGTTCGCCATCATTGGCCTAAGGAAAGAACTGGTCACAATGATAGATGTACAAGAATGTTCACTGCAAGATGAGTGATAAAAAAACTGTGGTACATTTATACCATGGAATACTATACAGCAGTAAAAAAGAAGAATCTCTTACCCTTTGAGACAGTATGGAGGGACCTGGAGAATATCATGCTAAGTGAAATAAGTCAGTCAGAGAAAGACAAGTATCACATGATCCCTCACATGTGGAATCTAACAAAATAAACTGATGCACAGAGTAGATCCAGAGACCTGAAGCATGGAACAGAGTGCAGAATCTCAGAGGGAAGGCGGGGGAGGGTGGGTGGGTAGGAGGTAATCAACCAAAAACCTTGTATGGGGATCATGGGGGGGGGGGGGACATATGTAATACTTCCAACAATTATTTATTTAAAAAGAATTCACTGCAGCACTCTGTAGCACTGTAAATAATTGAGAAAAATTTCAAACAACCTAAGAGTCTCAAAAAGAACCAGACTAAGTAAACTAATAAACATCCATACAGCAGAATCTGATTACTGTTAGAAAGCATGAGCTAGATCTACATATACTGACAACAAAGGATGTCAATAATAGATTATTAAGCAACAAAAAACAGGTTATAGAACATCTCATTTATATTAATATATATTTCAATACATACACAAAGAAATAAATTTAACATATACATGTATATATAAACACAAAAGGTCTGACGGGTTACCAACAAAACTTAAAGATCCTGTTAAGGTGGCAATTTTCACTTTCTGCCTCACACTTCACTAGTACTTCAGAGTCTGGGCTTTTATACGTGTGCATTTGAGAAAGTATACATTTTTTGTAAGAATTTTTTTTCATATAAAGAGGTTTAGATGATCCCTGCTTTCCAAAATTCTCAGATTAGCTGTATAAATATGCAATAAATTAGATGATGTTAATATGAAACAACGTAATGAAAAGGAAAACTGAATTTTCTATCAGATATCCAATGAAGAGAGATGGTTATGTTGGAGAAAACCAGCCACTTTAATTACCTCTTTTTTTAATGTTATAATGTTTTAATCAACTATTAATTACCATGTTCACGCAGGTCATCTGCTCAGCGTGGGGGATACGGAAGGTTACTTCAGTCATGTGTGCTGCTACTACTTCGGGCCTGGGCTCAGACAGCATTTAGCTCTCTGATAAGGGGCTAAAGCCTGCAGTCCTATGTATATAGACTCTGCAGCCTTAGATTCTCTTTTAGGCTTATGCTCAGTGTACACAAATGGGAGGAACGATGTCTCAAAACCAAGCCATTTCATTAAGCAAAATTGTCCTAGTTTTAAGAGACAGTATAGGGGTATTTTAAATGAATTCAGAACATACACAAATACAACTCTTTTTTTTTTCTCATTGATTTCAGAAAGGAAGGAAGAGGGAGAGATAGAAACAATGATGAGAGAGAATCATTGATTGGCTGCCTCCTGCACATCCCCCACTGAGAATGGAGCCTGCAACCTGGGCATGTGCCCTTGACCGGAATCAAACCTGGGACCCTTCAGTCCACAGGCTGCCGCTCTATCAGCTGAGCCAAACCAGCTAGGGCCACAAATACAACTCTTGAGAACATCTGACACTGTCACTAACTGCACTGATTAAGTCTCCAGACCTGGACTGTGTTGAAATTCTCTTTCTGCCATTTACTACATACAACCAAGGAAAATGAAAATCTCTGACCACTCTTTTCTCATCTCTAAAATGGGGATTGTATGAGAATCAAATTAGCTAATAGCGGTAAACTGATCAAAAAAGAGCCTGGAATATACTTAGTGCTCAATAAATGTTCTATCCCCATCATCACCACCACCACCACCACCACCACCACCACCATGTGCAAAATCAATTGCTTTCCTGACACCAAAAACTGAAATCTTTTCCAAAATCCAAGAGAAGTAGAATTCAACCCTTAGAGAACCAGTATCAGAAGTTTGTAAATACACTGGTAATACCATTTATTTGGATTAGATAGATCTCTTTCCAGTACTTGTACTTTATAACTCATAACTGTTTTTAAAAAGAGTAATAACTACACAAGAGAAGGTAAAAATTGTACAATTGTAAAGAACCAAAAGCTTCAAGGTCTGGCTCTGTGGCAAGAATTCTAGAAAGGGAGAATGAAAAAACAGCAATAAATAAGGGGAGGATAAAGAAAAAAATGGAAACTTCTCCTTAGAGCCCCCTCTCATCTAGGTACAAGCTCCAGAAAACTTTCTATAATACATCAACTTCCATTCCATGTGACAACATCTGACTTTAAAGCTAAACTAAATTTTGTTACCCATCACCTTCGAACACTGCTATCACCAGAACATATATACCTTTTAAGATACCATTCAAAATAACCCCAGGATTAGCTTAGTTACGCAAGGACGCATCCACTTGTATACACATCTGTTCCCATTTAAGAAACTAGTCGTTCTTCATTAATACAAAAACTTTATTAATATTTTCATAAAATTTTTTACATATCCTGTCATCCCCTCCCAAGATCAGGTTATATAACCATTTAGGAAAAACAAAACAAACAACATCTCCCTCCAACCAAAAACCCAAACCCTCAGAAGTTAGCATCTTTCTTTACATCCTTCCAAGAACACACTTTCAGAATAAAAATAAAAATAGAGTATTGTCTCCTACCTTAAAACAAGCCCCTTAAAAGATCCTTCTACTAATCATGTCTGGGAGTTGCTTTCAAATAATAGAGGGTGCCGAAACCGGTTTGGCTCAGTGGATAGAGCGTCGGCCTGCGGACTGAAGGGTCCCAGGTTCGATTCCGGTCAAGGGCATGTACCTGGGTTGCGGGCATATCCCCAGTAGGGGGCGTGCAAGAGGCAGCTGATCGATGTTTCTAACTATCTCTCTCCCTTCCTCTCTGTAAAAAATCAAAAAAATATATTTAAAAAAAAAATAATAGAGGGTGTTGGAGCAGTTGGAGGGTAAGGTAAAGAAGGAAATCATGGGGAGGGGAGAATAGAGATGAAAAGAGATTGCCCATATATTGATAACTGATGGGAGTTGTGCAATGGTTATATCAGGTTCCTTATACCATTCTCTCTACAATTGAATGTTTAAAATTTTCTATAGCAAAAAAAAAAAAAATGGTTAAAATATAACTAAGGCCCTGGCCAGTGTGGCTCAGCTGGTTGGAGCACAGCCCTGTACACCAAAAGGTGGCAGTTCGATTCCCAGTCAGGGCACATAACCAGGTGTGGGTTCCATCCCTGGTCCTGTGCATACGGGAAATGACCAATCTGTTTCTCTCTCTCTCTCCCTCTCCCTCTCCTTTCAACTCTCTAAAATCAGTAAACATATCCTCGAGTGAGGATTTTTTAAAAATTTTAATTAAAAAAATAATAATAACTGCCCAGTAGGTGTGACTCAGTGGTTGAGCGTCAACCTATGAACCAGGTCACAGTTCAATTCCCAGTCTCCCAGTGGGGTACGAGCAGGAGGCAGCTGATCAATGATTCTCTCTCATCATAAATGTTTCTCTCTCTCCTTCTCCCTTCCTCTCTGAAATATATATATATATATTTTTTAAATAACTAAGAAAATACATACACTGACAGGCTTACAATACCACCTTTCACTACAAACTGACCCATCCTATCAAGGCCTCCTCAGAAACCACTGCTCTCATCCAAGGAACTTACCCACTATTCATAATCCAAACCAGGACAGACTTCTCAGGAGAGCCAATTAAAAGAATGTTTCAAACATCATGTCATCTTTTATCATAATATATTCCTCTCAGTGCTGGAAACATCCTCCCACTCAGCACCTACTTTCCTCTGAAATAATGTCAATTAACTACTCTCTAAGCTAACAAACTTCTAGCTTCCACTGAACTAAATGCTCAAAAAGTGTTTAATTACTATAACTAAGAAAGCAAAGAAACACCAACTACTTTTGACCTACTAGTCTGAAACAAAAACTGCATAGAAAGCTTAGGGTAAAAGAAAGTTGAAATTTTTTAATTAACTCAACTTGTCTCATTTCTTGTTAATACGGGGGGAAAAAAGAATCACAAAAGTTCTAATACAGATTTAAAAGTTCAACTCCAGAGCCCTGGCTGGCACAGTACAGTGGTTAGAGCGTCTACCCGCCCAAGGGCACATACCTGGGTTGCAGGTTTGATCCCAGGCCAGGTCAGGCCTCATGCCAGAGGCAACCAATCAATGTGTCTCTCTCACATCGATGTTTGTTTCTCTCTCTCTCTCTCTCTCTCTCTCTCTCTCTCTCTCTGTGTGTGTGTGTGTGTGTGTGTGTGTCCCCTCTCTCTTCCACTCTCTAAAAAAAACAACAGAAAAAAATAACTTTGGGTGACGATTAACAAAAAAAGTTCAACTTTGGAAAGCACCTTTAAAATGACATTAAGGTCTCTAGAAAACTCTAATTACCAGAATACACTAAATAAGATATGGTCATCTTTTATCTGTCTACCTCTTTCCACTCAAAAGTCCTATAAGGGAATGACCTTATCTGTTTTGTTCATCACTTCTATTCCCATTGCCTGGAAAGTGTCTAGCCACCTAGCTGGTGCTTAATAACAACCTGTCAAGAAAATGAATCAATGAACTTCTTCTTGAATAAGATTATTTCATTTATTAGTTCAACCTAAATGACTTGAAGTACTCTTAAAAAAAATAAATAAAAGGTCAGTGGGATACAAGGCATTCAGAGCCTTCTACTTCAAAACTAGTAAATTCCATTCAACACTTGCTAAAACATATCTTCACTTCAAATAATACACAAAATATGCAGTGTGAAAGGGTGCTGAGAGTTAGGATAGGTAAGGGGACAGGCGAATAGAAACTGGATCCCGTCATGGGATTAACTGTTATATTAGCAGAGGTGTTACTGATTTTCAGCAAATCAGTGGGGATAGCGTCATTGCACACATTTTATTCTCCAGTGTACCAAGGTTTTCTGAACGTGGAAGTTCTTCCCCTTTACCATGGCCAATTTTTCCCATTAAGCAAAAGAGTACTCTAAACTCTACTGTGATAAAAGTACATTAAGACAGTTGAAATTCTCCAACAAAAAGCAAGCAAAAGTATAGTGTCTTAGTAACTTTTAGGTCAAAAATAATAATACCTGTCTTTAACTAGAATAAGTTAGCATTTATTGGGTGAGGAGGTGGTGTGTATTCAATGATTCCTTTTAAGTTGTACCTGTTTATGACAAAGCACATCAAACTTCTAAGTTGAAAAACTACCAATAGTTTACAGACCACATTTGTCAAATTAAAGTTTTCTAAGTATCCTTCACGAGACTACAAAAACCAAAGTGTTCATTTCACAAATTCCACTTTTGAAAGTTCCACTGAATCAAATGTCCTAAAAATACTCATGCATCCTATGCAAATAACCAGGTTTTTATTTTTATTTTTTTGCAATACAGTATGTTCTGTCCAAGAAAATTTTTAAAAGGTTGCATTTGGCAAAGCCTGGTTCTCCCAATAAGTTGAGTTCAACCAACTTTTTCTCGCTCAAACTGAACTCATGTGTAGGCTTTAAAGCGCTAGCCCCTGATCAAAAATGCCTACGAAACTTAATTTTTTCAAGTTGAAATAAAACAACCTCCATGAAGATAAATACTAACTAGTGTGCTACTATTCCCCCCCCCCCCCTCCTCTTCCATCCTAAACATTTACAGAGCATAGGGTACACTAACTGGAGGCTGCCCTGAAAGAAACGGGGGTAACTGATCTTGTGGAAAAGATTTAAGGTGACACCCGCAGTGCTTTTTCAGGGGATCGGAGGGGAGACCTCCTGTTTGCGCAAGCAGTTAGCTTCGCCACTAGCTCTATGCTGGGCTGGGAGGAAATTATAGCCTGCTTCCTTGGGCAGGGCTGCTTGGGCAGGAGGAAAAGCGAGCTGGAAGCAAGCAGCAGGCGGAGCGGCCCTGGGGAAGGACAAAGTGACGGGAGGAGAACGGGGTAGGTACCTGGTTCACAGCATCCGTGATGATGGTGGTCAGTCTGACAGTATTTGTCCCTTAAAGGCATTTTCAGTGGGTGCGACCTACTTTCCTTTCACTGTGAGCAGCTCTTCATTGCGGCTTGGCTGCGGGAAGAAGCACAAACCAGTCACTGGCCCTGAACTTCCTGGGGGGCCTTTGCCAGGCGCGTCCCCTGCGCCCGCCCTCCGCGGTGCCTCCGCGGGCCCGCTCCTTCTCCTGGAACCGGGGAAAAAAAAAAAAGGAAAACGCACGAAGGGCTTCCCGGGGCCGAACCCCCCGCACAGGTTCCTCGCCCGACCCGGAAACGCAGCCCCGGGCGCGCAACGCAGGACGCAGGACTCGGGCCTGGACTCAGGCTGCGCGGGCGGCGGCGGCCTCGCCGGCCCCGGCGGGCGCGCGCGGGGACAAGGCGCGGAGCGCGGTGGCACGGCCGGCGCCGGGGCCCGCGGGCGGCCGGGCGGGGGGCGCGGCGGCAGGGGCGGCCCGGGGGCTGCTCCGCCGCGGCCGGCCCACGGCCTCCCGCCTCGCACGTGCCTCGGGGTCGCCCCGGCGGAGCCCCCCGTCCCCACCACCCAGTGCGCCCAACTTACTCAACTCCGAGGGCGGGCCGGCGGGCAGGCGGAAGGAAGCCAGGCCGGCCGGGCGGCCGCGGGGACAGCCCGGCGTGGGAGGCGGCTTCGGCCCCACCTGGCGCGGCCTCCGCGGACCGCGCGAAGGGACCCGCGGTGCGGGCCCGACGCGCTTCCAAAGAGTCCCCGCCGGCGCCGACGCGGAAGCGCCACAGCTCACCACGTCCTCCGCGGCCCGCGGCGGCGGCGGCGGCTCACGGCGTCCCTCCGCGCTGCGCGGCTTGGCGGGCGGCGCGCGGGCGCAGACAGTTGACAGGAGGAACCGCCCCGCAGCGGCAGCCGCCGCCACCGAAGGAGCCGGAGCCGGAACCGGAGCGGGCAGGACCCGAGGAGCGCCTCACCGGGGCAACGGCTGCCGCGAAGCCGGCTCCCCGACACCGCTCCACCTGCAACGGTCCCGCAGGCTTTGGAGAGGGGCGGGGAAGACGGGGAGCCTCCCGCACCGTGGGCCTTTCTGAGCGGCTGTTTCTGGAAACTTTATGGAGTCGGTCTCTCTGTCTCCGTCTCCCCCTCCCCGGAGAGCCGGGGCGACCGCCGCGGCGCGGATCCGAAGGGGAAGCAGAGACTCTCCGGCGGCGACGGGGAGCGACTGACTGACCCCGGACGGAGATGGGGCGAGGGCAGGAAGTGACAAGCTCTCCGAGTGGGTGGGGGGAGTGTGGCCGGCACGCCCGGGAGCGCCGCGCGCATGCGCCCGCCCGAGGCCCCCCGGCTGCGGGGCGGCGGAGCCAGGTGGCCGGGCCCGGCCGGGGAGGGACCCGCGGCGGGGGGCGCCGGGGGCCGCGTCGCGGCCGGGGACTCGGACCGGCCATTCGCCGGCGCGTCCTCCCGCGGGCCCCGCCTGAGAGCCGAACGCGCGGAGGCTGCGCGCGCGGAGAGGACGAGGCCTCCTGGGCGCCCGGGAGATGGGCTGCGCAGCCACCAAACTGTTGCTGTCGCCGTTCTCCCGGGAGTGGAACGGAAACTGAGGGAGGGGCGCCGACGCCGAGAAGGCGGTCGGTGCCTTGAGGGATGGTCAGCGCAGACCGGCCCCGCCAGTAGTTTTCGTCGTGTGCCCCTCACGCCTTAGGGGTTCTATCGGGTCCGGGGTGGGGAACAGGCCGGTGGCGGGAGATGGGTGTGGATTCCGGCGGCGCTGCGCTCTGGAACCTGAGAGTGGAGTCGGGTCACGTGGGCAGCGCGCACCCTTCCCTCCTCGGCGCCGGCATCCCGCCCGGACAAGCCCCGGAGGAGACCGCGATCGCCGTCGCTGTCCCCGGCTGTCAAACGGCGCAAACCCGTGTGCCGCTTCCTGGGAGCGGGAGAGCCCCCTCCTCCGCCGTCCGCCAGCTCCTGGGCTGGAAATCTTCAGGAAATGTGTGTCGGGAGACCTGGAGGGCGAACGAGTCCGTGCACTTCGCTTTTGCGCCGCCCTCGAGACCCATGGCAAACCTTTCCACCTGTCTCAGCCGACAGCTCTCGGGGTCCTGGAAAAAGCAAAGCTGAGTAGAGAGGCCCGCTGTGCGTGCTGGAAGAGTAAACGCGTGGCTAAAGGCCACTGTCAAAATTCAAAGGAAAGCTTGTAGCAGGCCCAGTAATTGATAAATTTGTTGTAAAAATGTTGAATGGAGCATTTGCATACGCCTTTGGGGGGAGGGGGGGTTGTCGCAGCTTGATTGTGGGGTGACAGGAAAAGGACTGGAAAATCTAACTTTTTAAAAGGAAGTCCACATACTGTTCATTCTACACACATTAACCAGTCACGTAGATAATATGTTAGATTTTTTCGTGTTTTTTTTTTAAATGTTTTTATTGATTTGAGAGTAAGAGAGAAACATCCATGAGAGAGAAAATCCATGAAAGAGAGAAACATCATTGCCTGTTTGCCTCCTGCGTGCCCCCTACTGGGGGATTGAGCCTGCAGCCTGGCGCACGCCCCGACGGGGAATGGAACCCACCCAGCCCATGACCCTCGGTGCATGGGCTGGCACTCAACCAACTCAGCCACAGCGGCCAAGGCGATTGTTTTTTTCTGTTCCACTGTCAAGAAACATCACACATCAAACTAGAATGTAATGAAATGTCAATCTATAAATTAATGTAAAATAAATTATGAAATGTCCATATGGAGATGTTGGTTATACAGCCAGTAAAAATCACATTTTGTGTAATATTTAATTGTATGCAATATGCTTAAGCAAAAAATAATTAAAAAGTTTCATGTGATAACTGGAATTATAAGTGATTTTTATTTAACATTGGAGATCTTTGGTAAAATTTGAAGTGGACTATTTTCTTCATTTTTGGAGGATTTTTTTTCCTACCTTAATAAGCATATTTATCACAAGTTAAAATGTACAGTTTTAACTTTCCATAAACCTAAAAGGGCATTGCTTCAGATAGGTGACTTATTAATGTTTGCTAGTTAGAAATAAAAATGTTGTTTCCTGAGTAAATGCAGTGTTACTTTTACTTTCTAAGTAGACCTGATGAAAGAGTCCTCCAAATTGCTTGCTAATAAAGTTTTCAACAGTCTTTGAAAATTTAGATAAGATTGGAATGTGCATGTGGGTAAAACAGATATTGAATGCTGAATCATAGAATTTTATTTTTTAGAGGAATTATTTATTTTGGACAGTATTTAGAGAAAAAAAATTTAGAGCTGTTGGCTAGACACAAATAGCACTAAGTCAACCAAAGATAAAGCCCACTTTCATGGCAGTATAGCATAGCAGTTAGATGCTCCGGTTCTAGAATGAAATAGATGTAGGGTTAAATACAAACTCCTCTCATTGGTGATGGGATCTTATTCTTTCTGGACCATGGCGTCCTCATCTGGAAAATGGGGATAATATTAGTTTCTAGTTCCTGGACTTTAATGATTTAGGATTAACAAAGATAATATTTGTACAGTGTCCAGCACATAATTGTACATAAATGTTGAATCATAGAATTTTAAAGAGGAAAAGAAACCATGGAAATTATCTAGTAAGCCTTACTTTATAGGTGAGAAAACCAAAACCCAGAGAGGTTAAGTGATTTGCCAAAAGTCACACTGAAACAGATCCATGTCTAGGATCTAGATTATTCTTTTAACATACCAATACTACTATCGGATATATATACTAATATAGCTTAAGCTTAAACATTAACCCATTTGGTCCTATCAACAATTCAATAAGGTTTTTTTGTCCTTCATTCTATAAGTGGGGAAACTGAGACAAAGTAACTCATCAAGGCTACCTACAGCTGATAAGTAGCTGAGCACACACTTGAACCCAAGTATTAAGGCTCTGGAACCCCTGGCCTTAGACATTATGCTATATTTTGTGTACTGTGTTGTCTACCCTATGCCATAGCTGTTTTTTTATCACACTGTGTGGTAAGATGAGCCAGTAGATCCTGCCGGTTTGGAAGGTATGAATATGCTATGTTCAGCCCTAGCCAGGTGGCTCAGGTGGTTGGAGCATCATCCAGTGCACTAAAAGGTGCAATTTTTGTCAGGGCACATACCTAATGTTTCTCTCACATTGATGTTTCTCCATCAATTTTTACAAAAACATTAAAAATGCTGTGTACAAGTTCATGATGTGAAAATGGAGTTGCTAAAATCACAAGAATTTTATTGGAATTTTGCAGGACTTTAGAGTTTACAGAGACTTTGACCATCATCTAGAATATTGCCCTACCTCTGAAAACACTGAGCACGAACCATCCCAGAAAAATCATCTGTCCTTCCTTTTCATTATGCACTGCAGCAACCATTGGGACACATTGCAGCTTTGAGGAACTTTTTTGATCCTTAATAGTCTAGAAGTACATCCCAATAACTGATTAACCTAAGACTCTTTTACAGTTTAAAATTATCCTCTCATCTTCAAGATAAGAGAATTATAAAACACACACACTATTACTGCATAACAAATTACCCTAGAATTAGCGTCTTAGAGCCATTTTATGTGCTCCCAAGTCTATAGATCAGTGGTTCTCAACCTTCCTAATGCCACAACCCTTTAATACAGTTCCTCATGTTGTGGTAACCCCCAATTTCATTGTTACAAACTGAACATAATTAAAGCATAGTGATTAATCACAAAAACAATGTGTAATTATATATGTGTTTTCTGATGGTCTTAGGCAACCCCTGTGAAAGGGTCGTTCGACTCCCAAAGGGGCCTCGACCCACGGGTTGAGAACCGCTGCTGTAGATCAATGATTTGGACTGGCAGAGTTACATGAGTGGCATCACTTCCACCACATTTTATTAGTCAAAGTAAATCAAAAGGCCAGCACAGATTCAAGAACTGGAGAGACAGATTCCCCTTCTTGATAGGAAGAACAGCAAAACTCATATTTCAAAGGGATATGGGCACATAAGAATGGGAAGAATTGTTGCATACAGCTTATTACAATATATAATTACTTCAAGAACAATAGTAGCTAATTAAAGCTACTGATTTTTTTTTAATGTTTGCTTATGCTATTAGGAACATCAAAACAAGGAAATGCTAGTCAAACTTATTCTTTAAACTAAGCTCAATTTGGTAGCCTTGTGTGGATAAACTTTTGTGATTCCTTAACTTTAATCACTAGATTCTTTTTTATCATCATTTTTTTTCCTTTCTTTAAGCTTTTCCTACTTGTTCTAAACAGATTCCACTAAAACAGCATAAAAAAAAATGAAGTTGAAGCAATTCTTGTTCCTAAAGGACATATATACTTTGGTTCAGATTTTGCTACCTTTGATTATAACGTGGCATTTTACAACACAATTAAATTCATAATTATGTACAAATTAAATTATGGCAGTGATGGCGAACCTATGACACGCGTGTCAGAGGTGACACACGAACTCATTTTTTTGGTTGATTTTTCTTTGTTAAATGGCATTTAAATATATAAGATAAATATCAAAAATATAAATCTTTGTTTTACTATGGTTGCAAATATCAAAAAATTTCTATATGTGACACAGCACCAGAGTTAAGTTAGGGTTTTTCAAAATGCTGACACGCCAAGCTCAAAAGGTTCGCCATCACTGGATTATGGGCCACAAAAGACTGACAGTTTAAAAGGAGTCATAGAAATTTTTATTTAAAAGGACAAACATTATACTGTTGAT